GATCACATGAACAAGAGGATTGAGGACACTGACACGGAGCAACAGAGGGATGAGGGTGACATTGACTGACATCAGCATACCCATACAATAATGGAGAACAGAGAGATGAGGGGTGACACACCGACATCGGCATTACTCATACACATGGAGAAACAGATGGATGAGGTGATCACACTGACACACGGAGAGGGAGGACACACTGACATCAGTATATCATAATGGAGAACAGATGAGATGAGGAGGACATTGACTGGACATCATATATCATATTAATGGAGAACAGATGGATGAGGGTGACATGACTGACATCATCATAATCACATACATGGAGAATCAGAGGGATGAGGGTGACATTAACCGGACATCGGTACATCATACATCACGGAGAACAGAGGGATGAGGGTGACATTGACTGACAATCAGTATATCATATACAATGGAGAAACAGAGGGATGAGGGTGACACATTGGACACTCAGTACATATTACATGGAGAACAGAGGGCGAGGGTGACCATCATTGATCAGTACATATACACGGAGGAACAGAGGATCGAGGTGATTGACACTGATCAGGATCGATAATATAATGGAGAACAGAGGGATGAGGGTGAATGGACATCATGTATATCATATTAATGGAGAATCAGAGGGACTGAGGACACTGACATCAAAGAGACAATGGAGAAACAGAGGGAATGAGGGTGACACAATCGACATCAAGTATGGAGAACAGAGGATGACAGGACACCGATTAATCGAGACAGATGATGAGGGACATCGAGAACAGAGAGATGGACACTGACATCAAGACAGAGAGATGGACACTGGAGACACACGGAGAACAGAGGGACTGAGGGTGGACACTGAGAACAGAGGATGAGGGACACAGACACACAGAACAGAGGACAAGGACCGAGACACACACGGAGAACAGGAGGGATGAGGACACACTGAGACATCAGAGAAGAGAGGGACACACTGAGAACAGAGGGACAGACACCGAATGGAGGGACACTGGACACAGAGACACAACGGAGAAAGAGGACACAGGAAGACAAGGAGAACAGAGGGACGAGGGACACACCGGAGACAGAACAGAGGAGACATGGACACACTGGAGACACACGGAGAACAGAGATGACACACTGGAAGACACGAGACACAGACATACACGGAGACACAGACGGAGGACATGGACACAGGTGGACACATTGAGACACGGAGAACAGAGGGACAAGGACACACAGACACACGGAGAACAGAGGGACAGAGGTGGACACTGACAGAGACACACACACGTGAGATGAGAGGATGAGGTGGACACAGATGGACACAGAGACACGGAGAACAGAGGACAGGACACACTGACAGACACACGGAGAACAGAGGGATGGAGGGACACACTGGACACAGAGACACACGAGAACAGAGGATGAAGGACACACTGAACACAGAGACACGGAGAACAGAGGACAGGACACACTGAGACCACACGGACAACAGAGGACAGACACACTGACACACGGAGAATGAGATGGACATGACCGACACATGGAGAACAGAGATGAGGTGGACACTGAGAATGGAGAACAGAGAGATGAGGACACACTGAGACACGGAGAACAGAGGGACAGACACCGGAGAGACACCGAGAACTGTGACATGGAGAGACCGGAGACACACGGAGAACAGAGGGAGAAGGACACACTGAGAGAACAGAGGATGGAATGACTGACACACGAGAACAGATGGATGAGGGACACTGAGAACAGAGACAATGGAGGGACACACTGGACACACACACGGAGACACAGGACATACACTGAGACACACGATGAACAGAGACAGTGGACACTGACCGGAGACACACGGAGAACAGAGAGACGGAGGGACACAGGAACAGGGACACGGAGACACAGGAATCACACACACGGAGAAATGGAATGGACACACTGACACACAGACACACGAGAACAGTGGGATGGACACATGGAGACACACGGAGGTGGACAGACTGGGACACGGAGACAAGGACACATAGGACACATGACACACGGAGGAACAAAGAGGGATGAGGACACACGGACACACACACGGAGAACAGAGGGACACCGGATGGACACCGACACAGGAGACACACACGAGAGACACAGAGACAAGGACACTGACACCGGAGAACAGGAGGGACACTGACATCAGAGACACGGAGGAACAGAGGTGGACACACACAGACACGGAGGAAATAATGTGGACAGACATCACACGAGAAGAGGGACAGTGGGACACACGGAGACACGGAGAGAACAGAGGGACATGGAGGGACACACACCGGAGACAGAGGACACACGGACACACAGAGAGACAGAGGACACACACGGAGAAACAGAGGGACACCGGACACACACGGAGAACAAGGAGGATGAGGACTGACAATCATCGAGAAGGACACCGGAGACAGACACAGAACAGAGGACACTGACACACTGAGAACAGAGGAAAAGGACACAATGGGACACACGTATAATATACACGAGAACAGAGAGATGAGGTGGACACACGGGACACAGTATATCATATACACGAAGCACAGAGAGATGAGGTGACACACTGACACAGAGACACACACGGAAAGAACAGAGAGACGGAGGGACACAATGGACACAGTATAATAAGCAATGGAGAACAGAGATGAGGTGGACACACTGGACACAGTATAATAAGGAAAATAATGGAGAAATAGAGGGAAGGAAGAATGGACACAGTATAATACAATGGAAAGAAATAGAGGGAAGGAAAGGGACACACACACAGTAGCACAGCACAATGGAGAAATAGAGAGATGGAGGGACACTGGGACACGGTATATTACAATGGAGGAACAGGAGTGGATGGAGGGACACACTGGACATGGACATATAAGCAATGAGGAAATAGAGAGATGAGGGACACATGGACACAGTGTGGCATGGAAATAGAGATGAGAGGTGAAGACCATACACAGGCACATGGAGAATAGTGACAGAGGGATACAATGGACAATGGAATAATATACTGGAGAACATGAGGGATGAGGTGGACATAATGGTAATAGTATAATATACATGGGAGAAATAGAAGATGGTGGAGCATGTGGACACAGAGGGCATGGAAATAGAGTGGAGGGACACATGGAGATGGTGGAAGAATAGAGGAATGGTGGATAATAATGGAGAAATAGAGGGAAGGGTGGACATAATATGGAGGTACACAGAATGGAGGAAGGGATGGATATAATAATGGTAAGGCATGGAGAAATAGAGGGATGGATGGAGATAATGGACACAAGAATGGAGAATGGTGGAATGCAGGATGGAGAAAGGGATGAGGAAGATTGACTGAATCACATCATGCACAATGGAGAACAGAGGGACGAGGAGACACCGACATCGAGACATCATGGAGAAAGAGGATGAGGGTGATCGATCAGTGATCATATGGACACGGAGAATCAGAGATGAGGGTGACAATCGACATCACACAATAATGGAGAACAGAGAGATGAGGTGACATGACTGACATCATATCACACACACGGAGAAATCAGAGGATGAGGACACACCGGACATCAGACATCACACGAACAGAGGGACAGGGACACTGAGACACACGGAGAACAGAGAGACAGAGGACACAGACACACACGGAACAGAATGGACAAGGACACACTGAATGGAGAGACATGAGGACACTGAGAACAGAGGGATGACACTGAGACAAAGAACAGAGGACAGGGACACACAGAGACACACACGGAGAACAAGGACAAGGACACATGGAACAGAGGGACAAGGACACTGACACACGGAGAACAGAGGAAGGACACACACAGAAAAGAGGTTCAGGACACACGAACGGAGAACAGAGGAATGAGTGACACAGAATGAGAACAGAGGGACAGAGGGACACATGGAGACAGAACAGAGAGACAAGGACAAGACCAGACATGACACCGAGAACAGAGACGGAGGGACACTGAGACACATGGACACACGAGAAAAAGAGGGACAGGACACACCGGAGAACAGAGGGACAGTGACACACCGGACAGAGACACGGAGAACAGAGGATGACACATGGACAGACAGAACAGATGAGGACACCGGACAGACATGACACCGGAGAACAGAGGGACGAGGACACCGGACACCGAGAACAGAGGACACACACACACGAGAAAAAGAGGAGGGACACCGGACATCGAGAACAGAGAGACAGAGACACATGGAGAACAGAGGGAGACACACCGGATGGACACACGGAGAACAGAGGGACAGGAGACTGAGACAGAGACAGGAGAAAGAGTGGATGAGGGAGGGACACCGGACACACGAGAACAGAGAGACAGGACACTGACCAGAGACACACGAGAACAGAGAGACAGAGGGACACACTGGACACAGAGACACAGAACAGAGTGGATGGACACTGGACACACGAGAACAGAGGGAGACACACGGAGAACAGAGAGACAGGGTGGACACACCAAGCACATATATCATATACACGAAAACAGATGGATGAGGGACACACTGACACACGGAGAACAGAGACATGACCGGACACACAAAAATGGACACCGGAGGAGGACACACGAGAACAGACAGGACACATGGAGACACACGAGAACAGAGGACAGACACTGGACACACAGAGATGGACACACAGAGACACAGAAAAGAAGGAGGGAGACACACGGAGAACAGAGGACGAGAGGACACTGACACACAGAGGGATGAGGACACACTGAGACACACAGAGATGAGGCACACCGGAGACAGGAGAACAGAGGATGAGGGACACACTGAGACATGACCGAGAACAGAGGATGACACTGACACACGGAGAAAAAAAGGTGGACACTGACATCATCATATACACGGAGAACAGAGAGATGAGGGACACTGGACACAGACACACGGAGAACAGAGATGAGGGAGGACACACCGGACACAGACACACACGGAGAACAGAGGGATGGACACCGGACAGAGACAGAACACACGGAGAACAGAGGGATGAGGACACACTGAGAACAGAGAGATGGACACACAGACACACGGAGAACAGATGGAGGGACACACTGAGACACGGAGAACAGAGACAATGAGGTGGACACCGAATGACATCACACACGGAGAACAGAGGACAGAGGGACACCGGACACAGACATCATATACACACGGAGAACAGAGGGATGAGGGATGACACACACGGAGACAGAGAACAGACGAGGGACACATGGACACGGAGAACAGAGGATGGACCGGACAGACACAGCACAAGACGGAGAACAGAGGGACAAGGACACACTGGGACACAGACACACAGAAAAGAGGTTCAGGTGACACACACACACAGTATACACGGAGGAACAGAGGGACAGATCGACACCGGACAGACATCACACGGAGAACAGAGGGAATGGACACATTGACACATCACACGGAGAACAGAGAGATGAGGACACACTGAACAGACACCGGAGAACAGAGGGATGAGGACACCGGAGACAGAGGATGGACACATGGACCACACACGAGAACAGAGAGACAGAGACCGGACAGACACCGGAGAACAGAGGGACAGGACACACCGGAGACCGGAGAACAGAGGACAAGGACACACTGGACACATCAACGGAGAACAGAGAGACAAGGACACCGGACAATCAGCATATGACACGGAGAACAGAGGATGAGGGACAAGACCGGACACACACGAGAACAGAGGATGAGACACACAGACACACAAAATAATGGAGAAATATATGGTGGACACACTGGACACAGTATATCATATACATAATGGAGAACAGAGATGAGGGGTGACACACGGGACACAGTATGATATACGGAGAAATAGAGGGATGAGGGACACACTGGACACAGTACACAAAATAATGGAGAACAGAGGGATGAGGTGAGACACTGGACACGGTATTAAAAATAATGGAGAAAAGAGGATGAGGGGTGGACACACTGGGACACAGCACATATACAATGGAGAACAGAGAGATGGACACACACTGACACAGTATAACAGAAAATGGAGAACAGAGAGATGAGGGACACACTGGACACAGTATATCACATACAATGGAGAACAGGGATGAGGGGTGGACATAATGGACACAGTATAATGGTATACAATGGGAGAACAGAGGGATGAGGGACACTGGACAATATTATGTACAATGGAGAATAGAGATGGAGGGACATAATGGCCACAGGCACATATAATGGAGAACAGATGGATGAGGGACATAATGGACACAGAGACAGGCATGAGAATAGAGACAGGAGGGGTGGACATAATGGAATGGTATAATAATATAATGGAGAATAAGAGGGAAGGGACACGGACACAGAAAATATAATGAGAACAGAGGGAAGGGTGGAGACATGGACACAGTATAATATACATGGAGAATAGAGGGATGGAATAATGGACAGGAAAGAATGGAATCAGAGGGATGAGGGAAGATTGGATAATGGTATAATACATGGAGAATGGAGAGGGATGGTGGACACATGGGATGGACAGTATACAGGCATGCAGAAAGAGGGTTCAGGGACACATGGACAGAATGGTGGCAATGGAGAAATAGAGATGAGAGGGATACACTGGGACAATGGTATAATGGCGGCCATGGAGACAGAGGGATGAGGGACACATGGAATATTGGTGGCATGGAAATAGAGATGGACACATGGATGGTAATGGAAGGGTGGACACTGGACACAGTGGACAGGAAGGGATGAGGGTGACACACTGGACATCAGTATATCACATATACGGAGGGGAACAGGAGGGATGAGGGTGACACACTGGACATCAGTATATCCTTATACACGGAGAACAGAGCGGATGAGGGTGACACACTGGACATCGGTATATCATATACACGTAGAACTAGAGGGATGAGGGTGACACACATTGGACATCAGTATATCGCCATACACGGAGAACAGAGGGATGAGGGTGATTTACTGGACATCAGTATATCATATAACACGGAGAACAGAGGGATGAGGGTGACACACTGGACATCAGTATATCATATACACGAGGAGAACAGAGGGATGAGGATGACACACTGGACATCGGTATATCATATACACGGAGAACAGAGGGATGAGGGGTGACACACTGGACATCAGTATATCATATACACGGAAAACAGAGGTTAGAGGGTGACACACTGGACATCAGTATATCACATACACGAGGAGAACAGAGATGAGGGTGACACACTGACATCAGTATATCATGTACAACATAGAGGGATGAGGGTGACAACGACATCAGTATATCATGTACACGGAGAACAGAGAGATGAGGGTGACACACTGGACATCGGTATATATCATATACACGGAAAACAGAGGATGAGGGTGGACACACTGGACATCAGTATATCATATACACGGAGAACAGAGGGATGAGGGTGACACACTGGACATCAGTATATCATATACACGGGAGAACAGAGGGATGAGGGGTGACACACTGGACATCAGTACATATCCATATACACGGAGAACAGAAGGATGAAATTTGACACACTGGACATCGGTATATCATAGCATACACCGCGGAGGAACAGAGGGATGAGGGTGACACACTGGACATCAGTATATCGCGTATACGGAGAACAGAGGATGAGGGTTGTTACACTGGACACAGGGAACAGATGATGAGGTGACACACTGGACATCAGTCTATGATATAATACGAATGGGAGACCCTGTTGTCGCTTATTTTCTAGTTTGTAGCACTGTATATTCATCATCACTGAACGTTGTATTGATGTCGAACGTATATATTCAAACTGTATGTTGACATGATATGAAGTTTACCATATATAATATGCCATGCAATCATCAACTGATTAGGTACAATGTTGTAATGTGGTTATACCTCGACATTACAATCAGGTCATCTGAAAGAACGGTGATGGACGTATTTACGGATGTCCAAAGGAAGCGCGTTTTCTGGACACAAAGTGCCCGTAAAACAGCATTCAGTTATGAATGTCTTAGGATAAGTCTGACTTATATACTATTCCAAAAGGAAACGCCTAACCCAGAAATCTGTTGCGAAAAATGATGCATTTTCACCATAACCAAATAGGCTTTAAGAAATGAATTTTTACATCAGCTGAGAAGCAGCGTACGTCTGGTACAACCAAGTGGATAAGTTTAGATAACGGAGACGTTGAGCGCGATGGCATCACGTAAATGGTGTCCCGACGTCAGGTCTCCTGGCTTTCAGTCTAATCTCACCTAACCTGTTCTTGTACAGTTTGACCTGATATTCTCCGAAGTCCAGGCACCCTGCTGCTGCTGTGCTCTCACACGTGGCAGTACGATCACGCAAATGTAGTACCCGGATGTACTGGATCTTGGAGGTGCAGCGGCGACTCGAGGTCTTACCTGTAATGGGGACGGTCATTTGTTATACCTGTTTGGTTGTAACGAGCTGCAAGCAGTGATATTGTGCTCAGACTAACATCCAGCGTGCATTCTTTCAAATGTGTTTGTGTCTCAGAGTCAAGACTTGGCGTAATGATTTGACCTTGAAACCTCCTTCCAAAACGGATGCCGATTCGGAAAGTAATCTGGATTTTTGTAACCAGACAGTGAATGCTCTTTTGCCGCACAATTCTCAAATGGAAGGTGATTTTTGTCATGTTGTGGCGATGTCTTTTAATTTTGTAAAGAAATCTCATCAACCGTCAACATTTTCTTTAGGTAAAGTCGACTTCCTTCACTGGTGCAGTTGTGTAAAGTCATGCTACCAACACATTTGTTACATATTTTGACGATTGTTTGAACACAATAGGTAATAATTAATAGAGTTTTTAAAACACAAAACGCCTAGCGCGTTTCGGAATAGTATGTATTAGCCCTTCCTGTCCCCAGATAAGACGGCATCATGGAAAAATCGCATTTCCGGAAATATGAAGTGCAGGATCAAAGGCTCGTCATTCCATTGTCTGAGTGAATCTGGTTTTTTAATGGTGCTTGATAGGTAACAGTCTGAGTTATGTGGAATGCTGTTTTGTTTCAAGTTAGCTGAGATTATGGTGATTATGTTGGCTACCCTAGGAGGCAAAAAGGTCAATCAAGAAATCCGGATGTAGGTTGGTTTGTAATTTTACATATTAAGGTACATACACTAAACGGGCCAAAGAAACGTGACCTCCTTCCATAATGACGGAGGTACTCTTATCTTCAACTGGCGTTGTGATGCGTAGACGTCCACTCTTTGGTCTCTCGACGGTGACTCCAGTCTGTCTAAAGCCCTGACTAAATTTTATAACCCTGATACGTAGTGGCAATATCCGAGGGCGTTGGCAACAGCATTGTATGTCGACCCCATCGGCACCATCCCAATGGCTTTTTCTCTCTTCAGCTGTTAATCGTGGCATACTTCTGTACTTTGTGTATCATATCATCTTTCTTCAGACTCTTCATACCCTATAGAATCATTCTACATGTGAAATGGATGCAAAATACTGATGGAATATTGCTGCGTTTTTGTCGATTGGATATTATTGTGCGTAAAACAGAAAATGGAAAAAATGTTACTGTTCACAACAATGTTAACAAAGATCACTGTAGAAGTTCCTAAACATTTTTTCACAATATCAAAGACACGCTTAAATGCAATTTTGTTTTCTCCACTAATGCAAATCAGCAGAAAATGTATTAACAGA